AAAAAAAAAACCAAACATTTTGCCAGACAGTGAACTGCTGTCTTTAAGCCTGAAGTTCAACAATGTGAAGTGGAACATCACCATTCTTTTTCAGTTGCCTCTTTTTTTTTTTTTTTTATTTTTTTGTCAGTAGTTGGATTGCTATTGCAAACACCTTCACAACATACAAAAAAACCAAGTTTTTTATCCAGAACGTATAAGGTAAGGATTTTTTTTTTTTCTTTTTTCAATCTCATGGGAGTTCAAAAGCAAAAGAGAAACAGTAAAACTATGACAACAGCACCTTGACATTGTTTTAATTCCAACGCTATCAGAAGAATTTAAAAGCAGTAAACAGATATAGTACTAACAGGAATAAAGATACTTACTGTCTAAAATGTAAACGGAATGTTTTGGTTCAATTTTTTTCTGAAAGAGGACAGTTTATCATCAATTCACAATTGAAGCAGCATGCAATTTTATTTATTTTTTAAACTTTTTATATTTTCAATTCTTGGCAACGGCGACAAACCACAATGTTAGAGGAATGTAATGCAGACTGTTTTTTTTTTTTTCTTTTAAGTTGTGCGCAAATGACTTTTGTTCCCCTTCAGGTCATGGATATGTTCAATAAATAGATTGTGGAACCACTGTACTGTATAAACTTCAGTTATACATGCAGTCCATAAAATTTTTTACTGAATAATTTACCCTGTTATGTATATATACAAATAGATAATTTTGTCTCCATATAATCTATACAACATGAATCCACTATCTTCCCCTTTTAATGGTTAATGTACATACACAAGAAGTGTCTATTCTTATAAACCGCCAGCCAATTCTCTTTTTATTATCCATGGTGAGAGCTCGCACGTAAGACTGGGTAGTTCGGCACTGGGAGTTCCAGTGCCTCTTGTCTATGCCCCTGCAACCCTCTTTTGTGTACCCCTTGGGGTTGCATTTGGTCTCATAGAAGTATTGCTTCAGTTGGCCTTTGGGTACTGGGACTTTTTCAAGGACTGTGACAGTCGCACCAGACATGTCCACTGCAGTCTTCTTCTCCGCCGCCGTTACCCACTCACTCGTACTGTCACATACGCTCAGTTCCCCACGGCGAGCTGGGTCAGAGTGGCGCCGAACCCTCATGGACATATTTGCAGCATCCAAGTAGTTTTTGTACTCCTCAAGCAGGAAGAGCAGGGGGGGTTCCAAAGGCACTTGACTGCTCAGCATAACTCGTGACGTGTACAAGTCTGCGTCCTTGTTTTCCTCACTGGGCTGCATGTCCTGATCCTCATCCAGAAGCTCCTCTATGACATGTTCAAAAGTGTCTGCTAGCGACGTCAGTCCCCTTGAACCAGTGTTAGGCCCGTTTAGGCTCTCAAGAGTCCCATGGGTCCGCAGACCTGGGTAAGCCAAGCTGCCTTGTCCTCTTACACCAGCTTCTTTCATCGGGGCAGCTTTCATGCAACTGAAGTATGAGATAACCATAGTAAGGAAAAGGATGGTCATCACTCTTCTCACTTGGTGGAACTGTTAAGGAGACAAACAAGAAGAAAAATTATTTAACTTACAAGAGTCAAAGCAACAGCAAATCCACCTAAGTTGTCATGAAATAAAACACATTTTCTGCAGAGACCTGCTTCATGCAGCCACAACTCATTATCAGTGATAAAGCACAGTCTTGTATGTATAGAGGTGTTCTTTGATTTCAAGTTTCAGATAAAGCATATGCCAAAACCTTAGGCAACACTGATGACGGCAACTCAGAATTGTCATGTGCCAAAATCCTTCTGCAGTAAGTATCAGACTAGATACTCTATAGATTCCCCATTTATTGGCTGATTACACCTCTTTCAAGTAACAGCAAAAACAGTAATAGCAAATGCTGCTATTCAGCAATGCAGTGTTTCAGTGGTAAGAGGCACTTTCACACGTGCGCTGTGCTATGAAGATCAGGATCATTGCCCCACCTGAGGGACTGCCAACAGCCACTCTCCTGGTCCTCTCCCCATGGGCTCATCTGTCATGGACCAGGCAAGACTCCCCTTTCCAGTGCAAAGGCAAGTATTTGATTTTGAAAATCTCTATGCCAGAAACATTTCATAGTTCTATCCCCATGAAACTGAGCAGCGCTGAGATAAGTTGCATTTGTATTTTTGAAAGCAACTTTCAAAACACAGAAAGGGGCCATACAATTCTCAGTTCCCCGCAGGTCAATTCCTTGTCTAAAAGTAGAAGGTATGTATACATAAATATAGACTAAGGAAAAAAGCTGTGCAGGACAGTTCACTTGCAAGACGTCTTTTCAGCTTAAATTTAGTACGGCTACATTACATGAATGCCAGGGAAAGGACTTCTAGATTACAGCAGTGATAAACAGCAAGGCTGAAATGACAGAACCACTGTACCATACTTTCCCAGGGCCACACACTGCCTGTTCTCATGCAGGCAAAACATCTGTTTAAATCAAATTAGATCTCCACGGAGGTTTCTGCCTGAAGCGGAGGGCCCAGCATGAACATCAGGAGCCAAACCGGCCAGCAGCTCTGTGCCATAGTTCACATAGGAGCAGTTTGCCTTCGCTTCTCTCATCCTGCCCAAGGTCTGGAGCGTTACCAGCTAGAATTCAAGGCCTGTAGCATGCTTGGCTCTGTCCCCATTGAAGAGGGAGACAGCACCCAGGAAGGGTGAAAAAATGGTATTAAGATAACCCCTCACCAACCTTGGAATTAGCAAAACTCATTCCTATCAGCACTCCAGTCAGTTTAACTTGCATGACTGTTCCCTCCCATGGGCTTTGCTTGGTCTTTAAACATTTTTAAGTTCCTCAGGGTAGAAATTGTTTCCTCCTGAAGCGCAGAGTACATATTTTAGGTACTGTCGTAACAAGAACCCTCCAAATCCTGCTGTAACCAAGAGCTATACTTTCTGGCTGATCCCTAAGTGCTACAATGACATCTGTCAAGTCTAGTTGCTTTTTTCCCCCCCTCTTCGATCCTGGCTCTCACCAGTTCTGCTTGCTAGAAAGCAATGGCATTGTTCACATTTTTGAAGCAGCAGCTAATGCTCGTTTCTGAGCTTTTGAAGTTCATTCGGAAGTACCTCATACTTGGCAGAACTCATTGGAGTAAATGCTATTTCTGTTTGCCAACAGGGTGCTATGTAAAAAGCCTTACTTCATCTCCTGCAAATATGCTGTGGGAAACTAGTACTCTTAAGAGTCAAATGTGAAAAGACAATCTATCATAAAACATAAAAATAAAGTGCAGCATGTATTAAAAGGCACTACCCAAAATTTACATTCTCAAAATTAGTGAAGGGTTCACAGGAAGAGGGGATCATTTGGGGGAGTGGGGTTTTGTTTGGTTTTTGTTTTGTTTTTTGCCAAACTGCATTTTGGCTAAGAAACCTCTCTCCACTAGCACAACTATTCCTTCATCCCTTCATCTTTCTTCCTGTTTAAAAGTTTATTGTGGCATAGATTTATAACAATTAAACAAACCTGACATCTGTGACTCACAGGAACATAGTGTTTGCTCTAACGATGCAGAACATTAATATTTCGCAGATTTTTTCATCCTAAGATCTTTGAAACATTTTGCAGGGAATAATATCAGATTTCTTCCTCAGAGGGGAGAAACAGAAACACTAGGGATGCTGAATACTACAACAAGGAAGAAAAGTCACCTTTATCAAATAAGGAGAGACAAGACAAGAGGGAGAAGGGGTTTTTCAGCTGGCATACAAAGACTGAACCTGCGGAACAGGCAAAAAAAATATTCATGCACTCTTTTGAAAATTATTTTACATAAAACTTCAAATAAACACCACTCTTACTCTGAGCAAGGAACAGAACACAGATCTTCTGGCTCCTAATCAAGTTCTCATTATTTTTATTAGAGTAGTGCCCAGCAGTCCCAGCCAATATCTTGACTCCAGAGAACAGATTCCGTCTGAGCACGTAGTACCCAAAAGGGTCGGTCCGAAAAAGGGAGGATGCAACACAAGATGCACCAGAACAAGCACAACAGAAACAGGACCTTGCATACATCAGCTAAGCACACCACTTGGACACCTCACATTTGCTTCTCAAATTAGGTAGGTGAACAAAGGATAGGACAGCTCCTGGAACAAGCCACATCCTTATCACTGGGCTGTTTATTTATCATGGTAGCAATGAAGAACTTGAAGAGACTTGAAATTAGTAGAATAGCAGCTGCACAATTTAATTTGCGTGGATAAAGACAGAGGAGGAAGAGACATGCAAAGAAACTCATCAATTGACTCCAATAATCCCTAAGTAACACCTGCCAAATGGTGGCTGGTCACCGCATCTCAGTATTTTGTATTTCAGGTTAAATTAACCCTTCCTTGATCAGTTTTGCCCCCCATTTAGAAGGGGAAGTGCCTTCCTAAATTTGATCCACTTATATCCCATCCTATGACATCTGACCATCACCGTTATCCCAGTTAGCCAGAAAGGGAGCACAAACAGACTCTGAAAACAACGCTAAGACAGCACTAACACGCTGAAAATACACAAAAAAAAAATCTGTTCCCCTAAAGGCCACTCCTCTTCCTCCCATTTACACCAACATAAGAGTATGTCAAACTAAGCTTTAGCAGTGCAGATTGCTATCAAGTGGAACACAGATAAAACATCTACTTCTCTGTAAATGAGTCCCAAATTAAGCATAACTGTATAAGCAGGATGTGAAGAAAAAAATTCTTCTCTGCATGTTGATAACAACTTAAGCAAAATACATGGCTCTTGTCTTTGGCAGCAAATTGATATCAAATGAGTTAATATGAGGAAGTAATATTTTAATATCTAGGAAGCCTCTTCATTTTAGTGGCCACAGCAACTTCATAGTAGAAGCAGTTGTTCAAAATCTGCTAGTCTGTTAATCTGTTATAGTGGAGTAAGACTTAAATCTCACTATATGAGTAGAAACCCATAACCTTTCAGCTAATTTTGAATTGACTTATGAATGCATGGTTCGTATCTCCCTTAATGAGGCAGGACTAATATCCCAATGTAGTGCCAAAAAGGTCAGTGGAAACACTGGACGGCAGCTTCCAGTCCTTTCCCTCCTCCTCCCCAGCTATCAAACCTTCATTATATGGTAAAGATTAGAAATTCTGCCTGCTCTGTTACAATAGATGTCTTGTAAACCCCAGGCACTAACAGATAGTGTACACCCTTCTGATTATGAGCCAGTCACTGTGACCCAGAGTGGAAATGGAATGGCAGAGCGCTGCATTTGTCCGTCTTTCCAGCACGCTGCTTGGACAAGCTGCTTTCCCTTTCCATACAGGAAATACTCATCACGATGAGGCCTTGCACAGAGATGCCTCGGCATTTCTGTGTGCACCCATAGCTGACACCATCCTGGTGCACAGAGCAACTGTCTCCCATGGAGGCTCACCCCAACTCTGAAGCTGATCATTCTTTAACCAAAGTGACCTGCCCGAGAAAGCCTGTTCTGAGCACATCGGCATAACTCAATGCCAGGCAGCACAGAGGAACGATGGCCGCTTTTAGTCAGATGCACAACAAGAGAAAAAAAAAGAAATGGCCAATTGATATAGCTTTATTCTGTAGTCCTGTAATGTATGCGCTACCTTCTCATCTGTAGGAGATTCAGATTTCTAATTCCCACCTTCCAGAAAGGCTGCTAAAGGCTGTAGTTCTTCTCCAGTCCTCCTGTTCAACTATATCACTGTGCATACAAGATCTAAGATTAGTAAGACGCTTCTCTAGGAAATGGAATACTGGTTCTGTCGCTGTCCCATGGACAGGTGCACACAATGACTGCCTTCTTTAAAATACATATATGCTATTTAAAATAAATTCATGCTAGCCTCAAACTCCTCCATCAGGTCACACAAGATGTGTCTGGCAGAAAAAACACTTGACTCCTGAATGCAGTCCATTTTCATGACTGCAAGAACATCCTTCCCTCTCTCCTCGCAGTGCAGTACAGCTGAAGCTATGAAAAGAGGTCACCCACCATGGACCAGATCTCAGGGAAGACATGACCTAGTTTGTACTTCAGTAAAGTCCACAGAATTACAGCCAGAATAAGGCCACATAATTGTGGCAGTAGTCTCCACTAATAGAAAGGAGGCTCGTTAAATGAAGGTCACGTCAATTATCTACAGCTAGCTTATATGTGCAGTCAATTACCTATCTGCACTATTTACTTCAATATTTGTATTTAATGAGAATTCACTAGTTAATTGTTTCAGTTCGTTATTTTTAGTTATTTTAAGCAGAAACGTAACAATTTTAACAGGTTGCATTTCCAGCAGGGAGACCTGAGGAATAGCTGTGAACACGAACTGGCTCCTCTGCATCCTGATATTCGAGTGATATGGTTATGAAAGTTGAAGTAACTTTCTTTCAGTACTGAATAGATTTATAATGCTTTAATCTCCAGAAAGGAGCGTGCAGTAGAAGATAAAATTAGAAGCAAGACGACATTCATTTTCTGCCTTGCCATTTTCTAAGACCTTTATACAAAAGT